TCATATATATACAACTGGGCAAAATGGGTTTTTTCCCGTCGACCGGCAAGAGATACCAATGTAGTGAAAGTTTTGGCCATTTATCCTGAAAATTGGTGGACCACCGTTCTTGTTCACGCTTCTATCTATTTTACCACCCATGGACGTGAAGCAAAACATACTATTGTATGTTCTAATGTTTTGCAGGAATTGCTTGCTTTTTTCTCCTTCTCCAAAAAATAGATTGTAAATTGCATCTGGTGGCCTCAGGTTTGGTGGCAATTTAATCTTACCGTTGTTGCAACACATTGAATATCTTGGGGTGCCATGAATAACTGTTTTGTTTATCCTTTCTTCGTGCCAAAACAGCGCTCCACAATGTTGACACTTGTTATTTGCATCACCAAGATCTTTGTATTCAACTACATTGATAATTAAATATAATTTAGGTCAATTATATAAGATGACCTTAAACATTTCATATTATGCATACACGTATTGAACTGATTATTATCAAAAAGGTGAATGCGATTGGTTTCTACACTAAACATAATAACGTACACATAAAATAATTTTGAATTTACGTAAGATTCTAAATAATAAAGGAATTACCATTTGGAATATGTTGTATAGGTTGTTGCGGAATTTCGACCAATCCTACGATACAGTAATACATTTGATTTAAACAACTAAATACATAAACTTGAACATTTTTTTTGTAAAGTAACTTCGCAAATGTTAGTGTATGTTGAACTTACCACAAGTGTCTTCCATTTGTTCTAAAATGCGATTAGTATTGCAAACTTCTTCAAAATCTTGAAAACAAATCGCGGTTGACACATTATCTTGGCTATGGTCTTTACCCTCATTCATGCATGGACTCTTGTTGCATTGTCTGGTAGCGACTTTATTTTAAGTAGAAAAAAAAAGGTCAATAAATAAAAATAACTACTTAAGCAAACTACAAAATAGATCGAACTTTAGAACTTACGGTTTGATATATTTTGTAGAGGTGATCGTGTGCTGTTCGACATAGTTATTGTACCCTCTGCAACAAATGAAAATTTTTTGTGTCTGTCATTGATGATATCCGAGTTCTGATATGAAATAAATAATATTAAGTATATGCCTTAATATAACTAACCGGGAAGTGTAGAGCTTGTTGTACAGGATGAATAGGGAGTTCTGCCGCCTAATACAAAATGTCTGCAGTTACTTTTGCTTGTCGTATATTCCATGAGGCATGTACTCATATTTATATTTATACTCTCTGGATTCACTGCAGGTTTCCAATAATGTTAAAAAAAAAATTAATAAATTTTAAACAGTGTATTAGACCTAAGTAAATGCCAAACGGTATTACATTTGAAAAGACATGAGCGTTTACCTGTTGTTAGACCACTTTTTGGTGTATCACTTGAAGTACCCACTTGTAGTGGTGTGTATTCCGTATGTAACTTTGAGCTATTTTTTTTCAAAATAGCGTTATGAGTACTTGTAACCGGAGAATTTTCAACATTTTCTGCAATTAAAAGGTGCAAATATTCATAGATAAGTACCTTTACTTTTAAACATAACGATATGATTATCAAAATAATTCCAAATAAAATACATTTGTAATATACTAATTTCTGAAAATTGAGCTACGTAAGTTATATATTGTGAAAGTGACTTTTTATTCTACCTAGTGTACATAATTGTATATAATGTACCATAAGTCTAAAAAATTATAACTTAAGTGATTGAAATAAATTACATTTAAATATACTTTGAGTATATTAAAAATGTAGATGATGGACCAATTGTTCACACAATATTGTGGACCATTATCCACAACCTAGATTTGACCAATAATTCTATAATTAAAAAATCAAAGCAAAATTTACCTACTAATTATACCAAATATAATGTTAGAATACTGTCATTTGCATTTAGGGGTCTTCTAGATGGATCTGTCATTTCTTGATCCATTCTCTTCCACACTCTCGTACAGCTAGCATCCTCTCACATCTACCTAACCTTATCTCTCTATCTGTTCAGACAAAAAACCCATCTCCGACAGTAGAACTCGTCATCTGCCATTACAGTGTTGAGATCTTCTTTAATTCGTAGAAGATCTCAACCCCTAAACCGATTGCAGTAAGATCCGATTAGGGTTCATTTGTGAAAACCACACTGAGATCGGTTTAGTTGTTGTTCGAGGATCTGAACTATTAATCTCCGATCTTGGTTTTTTAGAATCGGATCGGCATTTTTAAGGTTCTAACGTCAAGCTTCGTATCTCAATCTTCAATTACTATCCTATTCGACTACATCAGATGTAAGGTAAGCAAGTCTTATACCCTATCGTAGTTTGTATTTGCTTATAGATTAAGTCTTACCGTCTAATTGTAGATCAAATTTAATATTTTTTTTTTGTTTCCTAATTCTAGATCAAGCAGATCAGAAAATGGGTCCGTACAGTGTTCATGACTTAGATGCAGATTAAAGGACTGAAATGCAAGATAAGTTTAAGAGTACAAATTTGTTTGTCTAAATTCTTATCTTAGAATATTTAACATATTCTAGATCTTTAATTTGTTTTTGTATTATTCTCTATATACCTAACATCAGACATTATTGGCTTCTTAGTATTCGTAGGATATTATACACTAACCAAATGATACCTAATTTAATTGCAGAGGTGTAGTTGTTAGATCTATATGTACACATTCAAAGGTGGGAAGGTAAGCAGGCATCAACAGAGTTCAATAGGTGTAAATTTGTGCAATGAACCAAAAATTCTTAGGTAAAGTATAAATTTTCAGTTTCAAGCAGTGTTTATGGTACCTTGATTGTCGAACGTTTGCTTCCTTTTGCTTCCTATTATTGTAGAAGCAACTATTTTCCTCATATCTGAGCTGTTATTGTTTATGTTCCTGTGTTTTGTTGTGATTTTATTTGTATTAGAAATAGTTGTATTCAAATAGGTTAAGCTTTTATTGGGTTTTTAGCATTTAAGAGTGCAGTGTAATAGTAATGATGAAAAGCAATGATATGACTCTTCATTTTTTATTGGAAAACAACAAAGCCAATTAGTTTTTATGATATTGAATACACATGTTCCCACTTTCTTTTAATTATTTAGTTTATGATGTACAGAGTTTTGTTTTCTGATGACTGGTTAAGTATGCTGTACATTATCTATGCTATAAATTATTATCTAGTCTGTAAACAGATTTTGTGTTTACACTTTTTTTTGGTCTTTTCAATGTTCCAGGTTATCCTAATAACTTCATCATTTTAGTTGTGGTTTTGGAATAGATATTGTGACTAACATTTTTTCTAAGCTTTGGCAAATGATGAAGTTACAGTTCTGATGCCCTAACTGTAAACAGCAACTTAGTGGATTGCAGAGAAACCATTTTACATGTCTATTTCCCTTTTTGGTTGATAAGCCTTAATTATTATTCATATAAATAGTTTTTTGCGTTTTTAATATTTAGTACATCCAATTTATCTTCTAAAGGTTATCTGATATGTACTGTGATGTCCAAGTTGTTAGGCCTAAAATGTCAAAGTTTTTCTCATATGTACTATGCTGATCCAGTTCCAAAGCAGTCTGACTTTGTAATGCTAAAAAGAGCAGTTTTACTACTCATTATAAAATTTCAATGTGTAACAGTTTTAAATTATATTTACTTCAATGGATTGCAGTTTACCAAATGTTTTTACTCATTTATCCTAAATATATTCTATTTAGTATACTTTGAATAGAATAAAACTGAATAGAAAGAATATACTGTTTAAAGGTTGTTTTGATTGGTGGTTAAGGATTTAATTGAGTTATTTATACACTTTTCTTCTTTAGAAATTTGACCAATGTAATAGTTATGTTAAAAAAAAACACAAATAGACATTACTTTGAATTGTTTATTTTGTATTCACATTTTATCACAATTAGTCTGAATTGTATTGTTATGAGTCCTATGTACTGTTATGTAGTGTTAACATTAGGTGTGATATGTACTTTTCCTCATGTCAACAGTGTTAGTCCCAGATTGTGTACTTTGGTTTCAGATAGACATGATCATACATCTTGTAATTTGAAAACAACAATTTTATTTTGTAATGAGGAAGTTACCTGCAGTGTTACTCCTCTATTTCAAATTTACCTGTGTATGAGTTTTTAATTGACATTTCTAGGCTTGATTTGGGTTCGGTATACATTTGACTTCTTAAAATGTAATTTCATTTGAAACTGACCAAGTGAATTTATGCTGAGTTTTTTTTTTTTTTTTTTTTTTAACTCTTTAAATAATGTTTATTTAAAGATATACGAATGATAAGTGTATTGTGTTTGTTCTTTGTTTTTTGATGCATAAAAACACCAAAAATATACAGAAACTTAATAAATAAAGTCAAAAGTGTGAGCAGTTTCTTTTATTTAAAACTTAATTTCAAACTGCTTAAACTTAAAAGTGTGAGCAGTTTCTTTTTCATTATAGTTTGCCAATGATGATATTTAGAGTGTGTGAGTTAATTATTTTAATAGAGTACGATGTTTCCAATGTAAATAACTTATTTTTTTTTTTGGTCGAGAAAAAACCATTATTTTAATTACCAATGTTTGTCTGTATAAATAACCATTTTGATTGTGTATATATCTTTTTTTGTTGTATCATACTGATCAAAGACTAAGTTGTACACTTTTTGGATGATAGTTTGCTAATGCTCTACATTTAAAGTGTGTGAGTTGTAAAGTACCAGAACAGTCTGTTACCATTGTAAATAATAAGTTTGATTACATTTGATAGAGTCCAATTAAGAATTCAGACTTAATAATTGATAGAGTACAGTTTTCAAAATAGCAGATTGCTACAGATTAGTAATTGAAAACCCTTGTGTGTTACACTGGTTGAATGTGTTTGCTTCCTTAACTACCATATTCTTGTGCTTGATTCCTTGTGCTTGATTCCTTGTGATTGATTCCTTGTGCTTGATTCCTTGTGATTGATTCCTTGTATTTGATTCCTTGTGGTTGCTTCTTTCTTGTCCTGCATTCAGATTCATACATCTAACAGTATATGTAATAAACATAGTGTAATGAATGTTTACCAAAAATCATAGGTAAAAAACAAAGGTAAATAGTCTAATCATAGATCTCAATAACATGAAATTGTTCAGGACAAACACAGTCCAATTTAACATGGCAAATGATCATTTTAAAAATATTAAAAAAAAAAAACCACAATAATGTGGTAATAGTTTGTAGTATCCCAGAACAGCTCAGATTTTTTCTTGTTTAACCACCACAGTTTTTCCCTTCTTGCTAGAGGATGAAAACTGGTCCATAAGCGATCGCTTCACACCATCTGCCTCTGAATGATCATTGTCTAGGCTTTGAGACTGATGTAGATTTAATGGACTGTTGACCTCATTGTCTCCATTTGAAGCTTCCTGCATATTAAAATAAAGTTTAGTCTAAAACCTGTCAACCATAAGATTAAAACTGTACAACTTTATTTGACTTTATAAAATAATCAAAACCTGATCCGAGTCCTCCTCTTCCTCCTCGTCCTCATCTAACATTTTTGATATCAAGTCCTTGTCTTGGTCTTCAATCAGTTTAGAACAGTATGCTGACACTAAGGCTTCATCCCTTAGAACTTTCATAACAGTGTACGCTGAATTAGCTCCCTTCATGAACTCCATTTTTAATGATATCCTAAATACCATTCTCATACCCACTAATGTTTCCAATTCTTTTGGAATGTCAGAAACCTAACAAAAAAAAATAACATACATTCTAGTAAGAAATATCATCTCATACTCTGTATGTACGTGTTTAGTTTAGAAGAAATTTAATTTTACCTTATTATACTTTGTGTACAAACTGTGTGCTGGGATACCAACTAATTCAGAACACTCCCTATCCCATAATAGGAAGGGAGCATCATCTAGACCTTTATCTAGAACAATAACTCTGACCCGATACCTTGCCATTCCTTCTTTATATTTCTTATCACAATTGGTACAAATCAGTTCACCTGATTCGTCTGAAAGTTTTCTGTTACATCCCGGTGACATGCAAGAAATGTACATCCATCCGAAAGAACCTTCAATTGCAACAATTTCAGCAGGTACATAGAACTCCCCATTCTGCATATTTTTTTTTTTTTTGTTTTAAACTAATTGGTTAGTCTTTCATATGTAATCTATCTTATTATAATAAGAGATAAGGTATCCAAACTGTATTTATGACTCTTTATAAATATAGAGACTAACCTGTTTCTTTTTCAACAGATTAGATACTGTAGTTACAGTCAAAGCACCCCTGGTAAAGTCATCTAGGCCTGCTGATTGAGACAGCACTGTTGCTGTACTTATACTGCGCAAAGGACTGTTTGGAGCAGTTAACCTACAGGTAAAATTAATAAACAATTGTATAAATGTGTAAAACAATAGTTTTGAAAATGTAGAGTGTAGATAAATAAAAATTTAGGCACTTACTGAGACCTAAAATCAGCAAATTCCTGGTAAGATGCATTGAAATGAAGTTGGGTAGCATCATAGCAGCTAGTGATTCTGACTTCACCTATTTAGCATGATAGATGTAAATGAAGACTGGCAAACCTAGAAATAGTGTAAAAGAATAACCTAACATTATAACTTACCATTGACCACCTTTGCCCGACATAGCTGTAGAACCAAAATTAATGGTTCTTTAAGACCTGCATCATAGTAGGGTAGCATGGCAGCAACATGACTGTCCCACACAGTGCACTGTAAGGTATTTCCCCTATAGGCAAGTGTGTTAGAAAAAATTTAATGTCTTGAAATATAGGAACAGATTTGTAATATGAAACTTACTCATTATCAGCCATTTTAAAGTCTGAGTTTTGCTGGTCTACCCACTATTATCTTGTCAACTGGAGCATGGATCTCTACAACTCTGCCTATTAAATCTGTATCATCACAAAATAAATGAATAGTAGACGAAATACAAAAATAGTTCAAAGAAAAATAGCAAAAATAAGATCAAAATACTTACCAAACAGAACCTTGTCACTCACTTGAGTAGGGTCTTTCAAAGAGTCATAGTTTTTTAGTTGAAACATCTTAGTAGGAAAACCTTTGGATTTTATGGCCTTAACCTGAGTCTTATAGTTTGGCCTGATCATATACTTGTGATCACAAGTTTTGTACATATAGTAGTGGGTGAAGACCAAAAAATTTTTGACTGAATACAGCTTCCCTTCTATGAAAACATTGTTATATTTTTTCACATCGTTATTTTGCATGTTCAAATGAATGAAAGTTCCCTGCAATAATGTTAGTGAAATAAATAAAACATTAGAAATAAATAAATAACCCTAAACCCTAAACCTTAAACATTGAAGAGAAAACAAAAAGTGTAGATTTAATATCTGTTTAGCGCCTTGATTTGGTAGAGCAAGAAAATGGTTTAGAGACTTTAAACAGTAAAATAAAATATTACACACTATACTAAAATATAGCTCATAAGGATAACCTGGAACACAGTTAAACAGTGAACAGAGTACAAAAATGTGTACATCAGAATTCTGTTTAAAGCCTAGATAATGTAGAGCATAGATAACATAGAGCATAGTTAATCAGTGAACAGAAAACAAAAATGTGTACATCAAAAATTTGTTTAAAGCCTAGATAATGTATAGCATAGTTAATCAGTGAAAAGAAAACAAAAATCTGTATAGCAAAAAACTGCTTAAAGCCTAGAAAATGTAGAGCATAGATAATGTACAGCTTAGTTAAACATTAAAAAGAAAACAATAATGTGTAGATAAAAATTCTGTTTAAACACTATATTTGGTTGAGCATAAATCTGTGTAGAGCCTAAAAAATAAACAGTAAAAGAAAATATTAAACTGAACATCATACCTCTTTATCGCAAAACAACACTTCTCGACTCTTAATCTCTGTAGACCCTTTTTCAGGGATTTCGTAACATCTAACACACTTTACTCTGATGGCTTTCTCCCTATCGAGAGGACCAATATCCTTTACAGCTACGTACATTGACATGGTTTCTTTGCTGATTTGTTTGTTTTCTTTCTTCTGTTTGGAAGGTGATACGAACTGAAGATAAGGTGGAGTGGGGAGTGGATGTCTCCATAGTCATATGCTTATATACAATGTAATACTGCATTTCAAAATCTATGATGTTATCTTGGAAGTATGAATGCTGCGGACAACCTTTCAGTTTTCAAGAGCATGGTGATCAGACTTGAGTCTCTTTATTATGAGTGTATTTATATTTATTTATTCGAGATTTGAGAAGTATGTTTTCGAAGAAGTCTTTAATATAAAGAGTCTCTTTAGAAGTCTGTAACTAATAGAAGTCTATTTAAAATGCTTTATTTTAGTTGGTATTACCAAAAAATTAGCCGGCATAATTTAATTGCACGCGTTAATCTTTATTGAGCGCCATTTACTGTAGACTTGAGTTTATATATATGAAGTGACGTCGTTTCATTTGAGCGGGAAAATGGTTTAGATAGAAAGTTGTTGCTTTATTATAATAAGAGATTACATAATACACATAAACTCATAGAGTAAAAGACATTTTTGGTCCTAGACTTATAGTGGCACGGACAATTTTGGTCCTCCATAAAAAAATCAGATAATTTGTGGACACTCTTATTGTGACGAGGACAATTTTGATCCTCCGTCGCACCTCCCGTTAGTTGCCTCGTTTGAGAAAGGGTATTTGTGTCTTTTTAGCCCTAAGAATTTTTCCTCTGCCTCACGTCTCTCTGTAGTCTCTCTTTCTCTCGTCTCCCTCAAGGAGTTTACTGGCGGCGAAGCAGGCCATGGAACAAGCAGTCACCATCTTCATCGCTTCTCTCTCTCTCGATCACCCAGCAACGAACCAGTGGCGTAGCAGCTTCGGAGACCTCCGCCATCACTTTCTCGTCCTCGGTTTCTTTAGTCCATAGCAGCTTCGGGGACCTCCGCCATTACTTTCTCGTCCTCGGTTTCTTTAGTCCAACGACCTGCAGCAGGCGACGAAAGCAACACCCAGCAGATGCGACGCTCCACTCTAGTGACCTTTCCTCACTCTCTTCGTCTCTCGTTTTCCTTGGGCGAAGGTGGTAGATCCGGTGAGCAGAAGGCAGAAAAGCGACAGATCGGGCGTCTTCCGGTCCGGTTCGAGCTTTTCCCCGCAATGAACGACAGCGGCGACCTCCAGCCCTGCTCCGGAGAAGTGGCAGAAATGGCGGCAGTTAGGATATCCATTTTCTCAATTTCCACTCTATTTTTCGGTAATACCTTCACACAATCTGCTTCCTTTGTAAATTTAATGAGAACATTTCTCGAATCAAGAGATCCGATGTGCGCCTTACCTGTAATTGGAAGGATTTTTTGAAATTGAGCCTTAATTGCTTCAATTGGGGGCTTCTCCTTAAAAAACTTACCAATCAAGGTTAATTTCCTCTCTTTTTCTGCTAGATTTTCCCAATCTGATTTCTTAATTGAGACAATAGGCTTGCCTTTGTGTTTCCTTTGCGTAGCTGAACCCAGATTATCAGAAATTATACAGAAAAGCGCTACTCCGATCATGCTTCACAATTCTGATTTCGCACAATCTCTATTTCGCAATTATGCACCGTCTCTGCTTTGCGATTATGCACCGTCTCTACTTAGAGCATAAGGATTCAACCCAAGAGCATAAGAAAATTATTGAATTAAACCCAAAGGAAATTGTTTAGACCACTGAAACTTCATCTCCCTTTGGGTCTAATGGCTGGCTGAGAACGACAATGAAAAGGGTTGCAAAGTGAAGGAGAAGGAGGTGTGTTGTTGAAAAGACGCAATTACCCCGCTCAAATGGGGCATCTAACGGGAATATTGACGAAGGACCAAAATTGTCCTCGTCACAATAAGAGTGTCCACAAATTGTCTGATTTTTTTAAGGATGACTAAAATTGTCCGTGCCACTATAAGTCTAGGACCAAAAATGTCTTTTACTCAAAACTCATAACATAATACACATAAAATTTTAACATAATACACATAAACTCTTAACTGAATACATATAAACTCTTAACATAATACACATAAACTCATAACACAATACACAGAAATTTTGAACTAAATACACATAATGGAGTTTGGTCCGTTTAAACGGACGGAGTGGCGTCCGTTACGTCAATCCTCGTCAAAAGTAATTGAAACGACGGTGTTTTGTACTTGGACGCACATTGTTATGTTTAGAAATTGCGCCTACTGAACCATTGAGCTAAACTGTGCAGACTTATCTCAATAGTTGTCTAAGTGGTGATGTAATTGCAAGTTTTTTTATTATTATTATTTTTAATAGAAACTCCACTTTCTAATGCTGATCATACTAGAGTTTGAAGCAATTTTGAATTCAAAACAACCAATGTGTCACTTATTTGTTTGGTCTATCCAAATATTGCTCTTTATAGCTATTGTTGAGGTGCTGCCACACACATCATATTTGCATTGCCAAATAGTTGGAAAATGACCCCCTCTGATTGACACAGGAAAAATCATATTAATGTTTTAATAATCAAAACATAGGTTTTCTTCTTTTATACTTTATATATATACAAGTATTTCTTATGCGCGATGCGCAAAAAATAGGTGCCCAATATTAATATTTTATATTAAAATTTTAAATTTATTTAGATTTTAAATATTTAAATTATTGTAAATAATAATAATAATAATAATAATAATAATAATAATAATAATAATAATAATAATAATGTAAAACATTTCTATAAATTTAATATTTATATTTTAAGAAATAACTAACATATAACCCCAATATATAATGTGTATAGTATATTATTGTTATTATTATTTTAAATAAGAAAATATATGGTGGATGCATGTGCATGGTAGCAATAGTGGAAAAGATAACGGAAGTTATAACTTTAGGGGTATGTTTGTCCAAAATATTGTATAGAACAACATTTATCCTATAATGTATCATAAAACTTAATGAAAAAAACGGACATAAATGAAGGGTATAACCTTCATCTACACTTATTATGTTTTTAGATTAGATTAGATATATATGTGTGTGTGTGTGTGTGTGCACCCAAGATCAAGTGGGAAGAGACGCTGTGAAATATGTGGATAAATTTGAGATGTTGATCTATTCAGATTAATGACTCGATTTTTTTTAACACTTATAATCTACAAAAATATGCACTCGCAGGTTTAAAATTGTGTATTCTGAAAGACACATAATTGTGCACTCTAAGACACAAAAATGTGCACTTAAAGGACAAATTTGTGTACTCGAATGTCAAAATTGTGAACTCAAATGCTCAAAATTACGCACTCGAAGGCACTAAATTATGTACTCTAAGACAAAAATGTGCACTCAAAGATAGAAAACTATGCACTTGAAGAGAATAAAGTATGCACTCAAAGAGATACAAGTAAAGATAACGGAAGTTATAACGGTAGGGGTATGTTTGTCCAAAATATTGTATAGAACAACATTTATCGTATAATATATCATAAAACTTAACGGAAAAAAACAGACATAAATGAAGGGTATAACCTTCATCTACACTTATTATGTTTTTAGATTAGATTAGATTAGATATATATGTGTGTGTGTGTGTGCGCCCAAGATCAAGTGGGAAGAGACGCTGTGAAATATGTGGATAAATTTGAGCTGTTGATCTATTCAGATTAATGACTTGATTTTTTTAACACTTATAATCTACAAAAATATGCACTCGCTGGTTTAAAATTGTGTATTCTGAAAGACACATAATTGTGCACTCTAAGACACAAAAATGTGCACTTGAAGGACAAATTTGTGTGCTCGAAGGTCAAAATTGTGAACTCGAATGCTCAAAATTATGCACCCGAAGGCCGAAGACACTAAATTATGTACTCTAAGGCAAAAATGTGCACTCAAAGATAGAAAACTATGCACTTGAAGAGAATAGAGTATGCACTCAAAGAGATACAAGTATGCTCGAAGAGAATAATTATGTACTTGAAGAAAGAAAATAATGCACTTAAAACAAAAACATAAATACACTTAAAAAATTAATGGCTGAAATTTTTGTACATTTTTTACCTTGGAGCTCTTGCGCATTTGATCACTTTTATATCTAAAAACATAACAAGTGTGAATGAAAGTTATACCCCTCATTTATGTCCATTTTTTTCGTTAAGTTTTTTTGTACATTATACTATAAAGGTTGTACATTAAAATATTTTAGACAAACATACCCTTACCGTTATAACTTCCGTTATCTTTTTCATTATTGTTACAATGCACATGCATCCACCATATATTTTCTTATCTTCTGCATTAATAATAATATATACACATTATATATTTAAGTTATCTAAAAACATAATAAGTGTGAATGAAAGTTATACCCCTCATTTATGTCCGTTTTTTCCGTTAAGTTTTTTTTGTACATTATACTATAAAGGTTGTACATTAAAATATTTTGGACAAACATACCCTTACCGTTATAACTTCCGTTATCTTTTTCATTATTGTTACAATGCACATGCATCCACCATATATTTTCTTATCTTCTTCATTAATAATAATATATACACATTATATATTTAAGTTATATATTAATATTACCCAAAATATAAATATCAAATTTATAAAAATGATTTACATTATTAATATTATTATTTAGAATAATTTTAATTTAAATATCTAAAATCTAAATAAATAAATTTAAAATTTTAATATAATGTATTAATATTGGGCAATTATGTTTTGCGCATCGCGCATAAAAAATACTAGTATAATAATAATGCGTGATTATTTTCTTTCTATGAAAAATATTTCTACTTGAAAAGTAATCCATTACATCCTTCTAAATAGAAAAAATAAATAAATATGATCATTTTTAACTGTTGGTCTTGGTTGATAGGGTAAAAGTCTAGAAGAAGGGATAAATATACTTTTAGGGGGCGTTTGGTTCACGGAATGTTAGATTACCTTAGGGAATGTTAGATTGTTGGGAATGTTAAATTTCTGTGTTTGGTTTAAAACTAAGGTATGTAAATAAGACAACAGTAACAAGACAAATTGATTAAAATGTCAAAAACACAAAATTAGTAATAAGACAAGAAAATGTGAGATTACTTAAGAAATTGAAGGGTATTTCACATTCTCTTCTAATAGCTAAAAACTTAATATGGAGGTTATGTAACATTCCCTGAGAAAATTACATAACCTGAACCAAACATAGAAACCTTATATTTCCAAACAAAGATAACTTTAGTTATCTTATATAACTTGAACCAAACACCCCCTCACAACTTTTTAAATCTTATCATATTTAAGCTCGATTCAAGAATGTTGATTTTCATCTATTAAAAAATTCTCTCTCTAGATTCTCTCTAGGGTTTTTGCAGATCTACTAGGGTTTTCCTAGGTTTTCAGACAATTTTGGTTCTTTTCTCCCTGAAAGATGGCCGATGATGTTGTTATGGATGGCGAG